AGATAGATAGATAGACAGATAGACAGACAGACAACAGACAGACAGACAGACAGACAGACAGACGATTATTTTAATTTTTTTTTCAAATTTGATGGGAAATTTTATTTGAATATATAATAATAAAACTGAAAATTATAAGAACATATAATCTGATATAGTCAATATTAACCCCATTAAAATGAATGGAACTGAATTAAATTCCTTTGAATTTTTGCTCATTCATTAAAATTCATGAAACCTGCACGCTTTCACTTTCGGATGAAAAAAGTGATCAGTTTTTAATGCTCTAATGGTTTGTCAACAGGCAACATATTCATGTTCATCAACAAAATTCAATCCAAAAGTTTTAGAAAAGTTTTTGACACTAATATAACTTCATAGATCATTTAAAGAAAAAGTATTTTTGACACCTAATGGTGCTCATACATACCCGGGTCAAAAATTTACCAGAACACGAAACGTGCAACTTAAAAAAAAATATATAATAATAATAGTAAAAAAATGTGTATATTGTGCATTTAAAGCATTTGCAAAGTTTCATTCCTTTAATAAAACCTATGCATTTGTTAGGCATTTTTAAGCATCTCTTCCAGGTCAAAACAGACCTGAATACATTATGAGGGTTAAGAATATTTTGTTATAACGTATCATGAACTAAAGGCTTGTCATTAATCCGTAGGAAATCAAACTGATCATGCCATGCTCTTTAAAACTCACAAATCCCTCTCCTGTAATAATGCCTTATTGGTTAAATCAGATGATCTCAGGCAAACTTTTTTTTTTTATGATACTGAAATGGAAATATCTAAACATGATGTGTTTTCTATTTCCAGATATGAATATTAATTTCATTCGTCAACTGTGAAGATCTTACCATTCTTTTCATGGATCTGCACCAGCGATTTATACGACTGCTGCGCTCTGGCAAGACTGTACTGATTCTGAGAACAGCACAGACAAACGCAAAACAGTTAGTACAAGTGTGTCATAACATAGTATTCGGTTTCTGTTGTGCAATTAAAGTTACATTTCAAATATATAATCAAATGCATCCAGACAAACACGAGCAGAGCGTTCACCTTATTGGCTCCGAACTGCACTCTTGCTTTTCCTTTGACTAAAGTGGCATTTATCTGCATGATGACAGACTCTATGGAGTAGGCACTGCTCCAGCCCTGAGAGCAAACACACACACATCAGTCAGTAAACACACACACACACACACACACACACACACACACACACACACACACACACACACACACATCTGTCTGACAGCAGCTGTGTATCTGCACAGTCATAAGAGCTCGTCTCAGGAGTGAGAACACTTTCTCTGACCTTTTTAAATTCAGGAATTTGATGCAATTTGAAAACATCGGACATTTAACATCTTTATGTGGACAAATGCATGCATAAACAAATAAATCCATGATGTGACCGGTTTAGTTAAGTTGAGGCGTCTTTAGTCCAGGAGGAAGTTAAAGCAAACGCACCTGTTTAGTGAGCAGCTCCATACACAGAGCTCCTCCCCCAAGAACATACCTGAAATAACACATTCTTTTATGTTCCGCATTTCAGAGCTGAATAATACACACTCCAGTCCAACGCTGCTTAATAATACAACCCAATGAGTTCAGCTACTACACTGCATGTGTAACAGATATATAATGAATGAATGAATGAATGTGAAGAGTTATGCATTAGTACGAATAAACACTTCTGCATGCACATTTATAAAGTCATAAGAAAATATGGTAACACTTTCTATGAAGCCCATTTTATAACGCATTATAAAGGTATTCTAATGAATGCATAATGCATTATAAAATAAACTTATAATATGCAAATAATCTTAGCAACAATTACAATACACTCTAAAACGTATTTGTGGTTATAACTTTTATGAGTGTGATTATTTATAACATGCAATAAACACCACGTTAAATCCTCTTAATTTATAATGGGTTATAAGTCTCATATCTCATCATTATTTATTTAAGATCTGTACAGTATCTTAATGATATTACAATAAATATAGTTAAAATCAAATGTGCCATATTACACTACAGATATCTGATCTTATGGCTGTTTAAGAAACAATATTATTTTTATTTTTATTGTTGTTATTTATAAGTGGTGTTTGTCTGCTTTAAGTAAAGTAACGAGTTAACAATGGCAAGATATAAGGCTTATAATCCATTATAACTATGGGAAATATAATCTAATGTGAGTTAAGTGGATGCATTGTGTTCATTGTGTGTTATAAATCATCATACTCTTAAAAGCTATAACCACAAATAAGTAAATATTATAATGCACTAAAACGGTTGTTATGATTACTCATGAGATGATATAACATATTATAAGGTTTTACAATGCATTATGCATTCATTATAATGCCTTAAGAATACTCTTATAATGTATTATAAACACAGGCTTCATAGAAAGTGTTATCAACACAGTACCCCTAACGTAAGGAACACAGCTAACAACAAAACAGAAACAAAGCCTGAGAAGAGATCTTACCCTCCAGACAGGACGGGAGAAACCACACGAACAAACGGAGGATCAAAGGGGAAATTATCCTGCAGACAGACGAGAACAGATTCGCTATTACGCCAAACAAACGTACATATAGATTGTGCAGAGAAGCACTCGTTGTTTTGTTTTTTCATCATAATGCCATGCCAGCTTCTAAAGCTGTGTTCATGAGGAGACAGGTTTAGTTATTAAAAAAATAATAAAAACTATTAACATTAAAAACAACTAAGTATGATTTCCCCCAAAAATCTTAAGACTAAATTTGGATTTACTTTGTTAAAATCCTTTCCAAAAGTGGTAAGTATTCATACATGTAATAATTAAGTTACAGTAAAAATACAGTTGTCCACAAATCTTGCTGACTCTCCTCCTTAAAAAAAAAAAAAATAATAATAATAATAATAATTAAAAAAATCAATTAACTCTTCCCCGCCAGCATTTTTGAAAAAAGTTGCCAGCCACCGCCAGCAATTTTGATGATTTTCACTAAAATTTCATGGCCTCCAGTATATTTTTCTGTATGAATATGTGAATATGCAATACACCAAAATAAAGATCAGAGCATCTACTTTTAAACAAAAAAATCAGTTTTATTCTAGCTTAAAGCATTCTTTTTTTTATCAACACTTGAATATAGGTAGGTTTCATAA